AGCATTTGCAGTTCCTACTATCTCTGAGAAAGAGTGCACCTTATTTTAGAGCATGTCATCTGTACCATTGCCAGGGTGTTATCAGGACCATAGCCTTTGCAGTATTCAGTGCTTCCGGCCAGAACTTGATATTAGGTGGACTGAATTGAGTTAGTTGAAGTCTGGTGTCTGTGATACTGGGGACCACAGGTGGAAGCCCAGGACTTCTGGCTGAAGGTGCATACAAATACTTTAGCCTTGTCTTTTGCAATGCGCTGGCCTCCCTCATATTTGTGAATTGGATTACTTGTGAAATCTCCACATGTTGATAATTGTTTAATTGTCCACTACCATTCACAACTGATATAGAAAGACAGCAGATCTTACATCTGATCTGTTGGTTGTGGGATTGTTCAGTTCCATCTATTACTCGCTACATGCGCTTTTTTGGCACACGAGTAATCCTGTGCTGTGCTGTAGCTTTACCAGGTTGACCCCTTCTATTGAGATAACACAGTGTCGAGCTGGAGGAGTACAGCAGGCCAGGCAGCATCAGAGGAACAGGAAAGTTGATGTTTCGGGTCGGGACCTTTCTTCAGAAATGGGGGAGGGGGGAAGGGAGCTCCGAAATAAATAGAGAGAGGAGGGATGGAACTGGGGAAGGTAGGTGGATGGCGATAGGTGAGTGCACGTAGGCAGTGGTGGTGATTGGTCAGTGAGGTGGAAGGAGCGGATAGGCGAGAGAGAAGATGGACAGGTTGTGGCAGGTCAAGGAGGCGGGGATGAGAGGGAAGGTTGGTCATGGGATGAGGCCGGAGGTGGGGAGAAGGTTTCAAATCTCCCCAAATGAATGGACCCTTATTTTTAAACAGTGACCAATAGCTCTGGATTGTCCCATTAGAGGAATCGTACTCTTCGCATCTACCCTGTTAAGATCTCTCAGAATCTTGTATCTTTCAATCAAGTCTCTTCTTGCTCTTCTAAATGCCAACGGATATCTGAGTTGTCTTACAACGTTAGACAGACTACTCATTCCAGGCTTAGTCTGATAAACCTTCTCTGAACTAATTTTAATGCGTTTATACCCTCAAGTAAGGTGGCCAGTGCTGCACAGAGTACTCAGAATATGGTCACACATTTTCCTATATAACGGAGGCATAAAATCACTATTGTATTCAATTCCCCTTAACAATAAAAAAAAGCATCTTTTTACAGACTCTTTTAAAAAGACATTAAAAAATAAGCTGAAACTAAAATTGGGTGTTTTAATAATAACTGGTGATCAAATGTGTGGATATCATCTGTGTGCCACCTTAATATTATAACTTTGATTCAAACCATTGTCTTGATTTGGTTAGATTGATGTATTAAATTGCTAGCTTTCCACACATTTTCTTACATCAACTATATAACTAAATTGTAGTCAGGTACATAATGACTCTATTTTAAGTAACAGGTCGATGGATAGTGATGATTTGATTGCAGTAGGTCCATTTTAAAAGCAGCAAAGAATCTGATGCAAGTCCCTGCTGAAATTCTACTTGTTAAAGTTCTTCTTTATGGATATTCAATAATTAAATTCAGAGGTTCAAGTAGTTCATGAGAAAGCATAATTGACGGAAAGTAGCATCAGTAAGGCGTTGTACTGCAGAAATTAAGAGGGCTGAAAGTAGACAAGTTCCCTGAACATGATGTTCTACATCCTAGAGTGTTGAAGGAGGCGGCGATACAGAGGATCAATGCATTGGTGATTATCTTGCAACATTTAATAGATTTTGGAATGATTCCTGTGGATTGGATGGTAGCAAATGCACCCCCACCCCCCACCCCCACCCCCCACCCCCACCAATCTAAGAAGAGAGTGAGAGAAAAAACCAGGAACTACAAACGTCTGTTAGCCTTAGATCAGTGGTAGGAAAATGCCAAAAACTATTATAAAGAATGGAATAAATAGATACCTAGTTGATTTGATTGAGCATTGTCAGCATGGATTTGCAAATGGAAAATAGTGCTTGACAAATTTGTTGGAATTTTTGTAGATAGGATCCCATCAAAATTGATAAAGGAGAGCCAACAGATGTAGTATACGTAGATTTTCAAAGGATTTTTGAAAAAAATCCCACAGGAGGCTGGTCTAATTAAAAACATTAAAGCACGTGGGATAGGTGGTCATGTACTGACATAGATTAATGATTGGCTAAGTCAGAAAATTGAGCAAGTATGAATTGACCATTCTGTTAGCAGGTTGTGACTAGTAGGGTACTACAAGGACAGTGCTTAGGGCAACCACTGTTCACAGTATATACCAATGATTTTGAGTTGGAGACTAAATGTAATATTTTCAGATGATACAAAGCTAAATGGGAATGTGTGTAGTGAGGATGAATGTAAAGCTGCTTCAGGAAGATTTGGACAGACTTAGTGAATGGGCTTGAATGTAGCAGATAGATTACAATGTGGAACAAGAGATGTGATCAGAGAAACAGATGTGCAGAGTATTTCTGGTGCAAAATGAAGAGGAAAGTTGGCTTAACCATGGCTTACAAGTTTGGGACAGTATTAGATCGAAAAAGGTGACAATATAAAAATACCTGAAAAAGTAGCAAGCCTGAGAATTGGGAAGATTTTAGAACTCAGCATGAAAGGAGAGAAAAATTTGATCAGAAGTGGGAAAATAGTGCATGAGAGTAAAATTGCAGGGAACATAGAAACTGACGATAAAAGCTTGTATTAAAATATGAGAAGAGAATAAATTAGTAAAGACAAATGTAGATCCCTTCCAGTCCAAAGCTGGGGGAAATTATAATGGACAACAAAGAAAAACCATTGGTTCAGTCTTCACATAAAGAGGGCACAATAACCTCCAAGAAATGATAAAGAACCAAGATTCTAGTGAGACAGCAGAATTGAAAGAAATCAGTATTAGTAAGAAATTGGTGCTGGAAAAGTTGTTGGGGTTAAATGCTGACAAATCACCATTGCCTGATAATCTCCTATCCTGAGTACTGAAAAATGTGGCCCAAGAAATATTGTATGCATTTGGTGGTCAACTTCCAAAATTCTATAGATTCTGGAGCAGTTCCTCTAGATTGGATGGCAATAAATGTAACCCCACTATTTGAAAAGGATGGGAAAGAAAAATATCAGTCGTAGGGAAAATTCTGGAGTCTAGCTATTTTCCTAATCAACACGTTCAGACATCTTGTTACACGCTTATGGGTGGGTGGGTCTTATACCTGGTTTCCGAGCTTACAGGTAGGGACATTGCTGAAGTCTATTATAAAAGATGTGATAGCAGAACGTTTGGAAAGGATTCATATGATTGGACAAGTGGTGATTTATTGGGAACTGTGGATGTACAAAGGGATTTGGGTGCCCTGGCACACCAGTCAATTAAAGGACACAGGCAAGTACAACAACCAATTAAGAAGGAAAATGGCATATTGGGGGTTGGTGAGGAATATAAATTAAAATACTATGCAAATATCATAGTACAGCATTAAAACATTGAAAAACATGTCCCTTACCATTGTTTTGCCAAGGTGAAGAATGTAATTTTTTTTACAAGTTCCATTGTGATTACCACCTGATTTTTAATAAACTAAAATTTAATTCAGTCAATACAACTTAGTTAAGTAATTTTGTTTTTTCAATTAGTCTGTATTATCTAGTAATACCTTATTTTTACACAAAAAAAATGATTTAATGGATGGTGAATATGCATAAAAAAGCATCACTTCTTATCAGTTGGCTTCCCTTTTCCCTTTCCTTTGCCTTTTCCCTTTCCTTTGTTCTCTCCTCCTTTCTTTTTAATGTACTTATAGATTCCGATTCCTCTGCGAACCATGACCCCTCGCCACCACGATTGGAGCTGTAAGGAAAATAGAGATAATATTTCATACAATCATAAAATCCCTTCATTTTACTCTGTTTGAGATTCCATTACAATCTAAATGAAAATATTGGATTGGATTTTCAGTCCCCTCCCAACCCCTAAAATGGCAAGGGGAAGTGAAGGCCAAATACCAGTGTCTTCCAGTCAACAGCTTTATACTAGTCATAGTTGGGGCCTTTGCCATTTTGGGACATTACCTCATAAATCTTGGCAGGCCTTCCTGCAGATTGAGATAGGGCCCTTTGATTTGAGCACTCTGCACCCATGGGTGGAATCCCCCAGCAGCAATGTCTCTCATGGTACACACACTGCCTACCCTTCAAAATCTCCTGACTCCAGTACCACTTGCTGTGGCCAGTCTGAATGGCCCTGGCACCCTCAAACCACAAGTTACTGATTGTGAGAGTGTCCTGATACCACGACATTCTCTTATTCCAAATGGACAGTGAGGTGTATCCATTGTCCTTGCTGCTACAATACTGACATTATGATTGAATGGTGGCACCTGGGGCTAGGCAAGCCCCTTACCATCTGATAAAATTCCAAATGTACATGACTCTTTCTGTATTGTAATAAATGTACACCAGCAACCCAGATCTCTGTCAGAGGAACGTAGAAGTGGCAGCCAGATCTTGGGCACCAAGGATGAATCTTGTGTTAAGTGGGGTATGGCAAGATTTAAAAGAGTGATTGTTATAGGAGACTCACTTGTCAGACACAGACAAGAGATTCTGCAGCCGTGAGAATTCAGGATGGTATGTTGCCTTCCTTGTGCCAGGGTCAAGGATGTTGCAGCATATTGTCAAAGGGACAATGAGAAGCCAGAAGTTGTTGTACACATTGATAAGAATGACATAGTTAGGGAAAGGGTTCAGGCTTTGCAGAGTGAATGTAGGAAGTTAGAAGATCTGATGTATGTAAGAAGAACAAGGGTTGTAATAGTAGGGACTGCCATAGCGTTGGATGGTGAGGAGGAGTAAAACATGACCTTCTCTTGGGAAATAAGGCAGGGCAAGTGAATGAAGTGTTTGTGGGGGAGCACTTTGGGACCAATGATCATAATTCTGTTAGTTTTAAAATAGTTATGGAAAAAGATGGGCCTTGTATAAAAGTTGAAATTCTAAATTGAACTAAGGCAAATTTTGAGGGTACAAGATAGGAACTTATGAAAGCTGTTTGGAGTAGTCTTTTCAGAGATAAAGCGATGACTGGCAAGTGGGAGGCTTTCAGAAGTGAGATAACGAGGGATCAGAAGTATTATATTCTCTCTCTCTCTCTCTCTCTCTCTCTCTCTCTCTCATATACTCTCTCTCATACACACTGTCTCTCTCTCATACACACACTCTCGTACACACACACAGACATTCACACACGCAGACACACAAACACTCTCCCTCTCTTACACTCACTCACACATACATATAAATCTATGGGGTAAATTTGCACTTGCAGGTTTGTATTTGCAGATATGCTGTATTTTGTTCAAAAAGCACACAATTCGTGGTCAGAGTCAGTCAGTGCGGCATGTTCTAAATTCCTGCTTTGGAAATAAAACCAGTCTGACTCCATGTTAAAACACAGACAGTTTCCAAACAAGGTCTCATACCAAAAGGCATTGTCTGACCTGAGATGTCACCTCTTGTATTCACTGACAAAACCTTGTGTTATCTTGGGATATTGACTTGAAAGAAATTCGGAGAGTTGCATATTAATCAAAACCTGCATCTCCTTTCTAACTGATTAAGGATTTAACAAGAGGGGGTCAGCTAGCCAGTTTAGGGTTATTAAATGCATTTGCATCAGTTGTATAATCCTTTGATCTTTTACTTATAAATTCCATGTCTTGATACTTTTCCTCTCATTACACCTGAGGAAGGAGCAGTGCTCTGAAAGCTTGTGTGTTCAAATAAATCTGGTGGACTATAACCTGGTGTTGTGTGATTTTGGACCTTGTCTCAGCTCTCCCGGAGAAGAAATTCCTCCTCATCTCGGTCTTAAATTGGTGCCCCTTTATTCTAAAACTAAGCCCTCTTGTCCTAGACTCTTCCGTAAAGGTAAAACATCCTCTTAGCATTTAGCCTGTCATGCTTCTCAAGGATCCCATATGTTTTGATGAGATCACCTCTCATTTTTCTAAACTCCAGTGGGTAAACTCCCAATCTGTTTAACCTTTGTTCCTAAGACAATCACTCCATACCGAGGATCATCCTAGTGAACCTTCTCTGAACTGCCTCCAATGAAAGTAATATCCCTCCTTAAATAAGGGGACCAGTGCTGCTGTCAGTACTCCAGATGTGGTCTCACCAGTACCTTATACAACTGCTGTCAGACTTCGCTATTCTTATACTCCAAACCCCTTGAAATAAGGGCCAACATTAGCCTTACTGATTACTGACTAAAACATTACCAGTCGTATCTCTTTAATGAGAGAGCAGCCCTATGATCCAGTAGTACTATGGCGACTTTACCTACATATTCCCTACAAGTCATTAAAATATGCTGCAAAAAAGCAAGGATCCTAGCACTGAACCCTTTGGAATTCCACTGGAAACAACTTTGTACTTGTTTCAACACCGTCCACTGCATTTGCTACTTATGGTAATGAAACTCCCTTTAAATAATAAAGACTAAAGTTGGTTACTATTTTATCAATCACCTCCATTCTATTTCAAATATAACCTCAAGTTCCAATATGACACTGTCATATTAATTCCCCATGCCTGTTCCCATTCTGATTTGATTGTCTTTTTCTTCAGTACCTTTGAATTGAGCTCAATTTAACTGCATCTTGTCCTTTCACTTTGCCAACTTTTGGCTTTAATATTAAATTCAACAATAAAACACCTTACCTGCCAAACAGGAAGTGGAAGCTAAGTTATTAATGTGGGATGGGGCTATTACTATTCTGCCAGAATAGATTTATGTAGAATTTACAGCAGAAAACTAGGCCAGGAAGCCCAACAATTCTAGAATTGTGTTTATGATCCACACAAGCCTCCTTTCATTTTATTTCATCTGATCTACATGTATTTTATTATTGTCGTCCTCACGCATATATCTATAAATCAATCTATCCCACAAATTCTTTAAAATTGTGACAATGTTCAATATGGTAATGTAGAGAATATACTTCCACCTGTAGGGGAATCTAAAACTAGTGATCATAAAAATGAGGTGAATTTTGACTTGCACTTTTCTTGTCCCAGTCTCCTGAGACAAAAGAGCCTTGTTGACTTTGCTAGATTTTCGTGTTGGAATTTCTACCTCTCATCATCCCCTTCTGAATTATTAACATATTCTCCATGTCTCTCAAAAATGTCAATTCCTCTCATTATGTTTCGTAACGCCTCATGTTAATATTGCCTGCATTTAGCAATCCATTGCTTTGTACTCAGGAAATTTATAGAGCAATTCTATTTCCGCTTGTATGTGTATTGTCTCCCATTCTGCTCGTTTTATTTTAACTCTTTGTAAATGCTGTTAGTTCATCTATAATTGTTAACAGTTCTAATTATATAGTTTTACCTATAAATCATCAACTTATCTGTTTCTGCATAACCTGCTGAGTTGACAAGAATTTTTAGTTCTATTTCAAATACATTGTTTTTATTTAAATAAGCTGAATTTAATTGTGACTTTGCTAAAGCACGTTGTTATTATATTTCTGAAAATATTAATTGGAATTATTTGAGTGATTGAAATGTTGATTGAATTTTCACCCTGGAGATCGGAGATTTGAAGTCATTAGGGGATCTATAGTAGTGGGCCAGGAAAAATGTCCACAGAGGCAGGCAGAGAATTAATGTTTAATTTGTGGTGGTACAACAGTGCCCTGCCACATCTGAAAACTGCCAGTTCAATGGATGTAACATCCATGTTGCCGGCCTGGGGGAAGCGGAGGAGTTACTGGAGCTTTACGCTCCATTACTGATTGAAAGGCTGCAGTCACAGCTGATTCCAATCCATAAAGATTTCCCTCCATCTGGTGACTCTTGTGGCCCAGTGGTACTGTCCTTACCTCTGAACCAGGAGACCTTCCCTACATCATGAAGGACATGCCAGCCTAAATGTTGATTGTTTCTTTATTGATAAGCAGGCCAGTGAGGATAGAAACTAGGAGTAGGGAGTAGGCCATTCAGCTCTTCAAGCCTACTCCGCATTCCAGTAGGGTCATGGCTGATTCTCTATACCAATGCCACATCATTGCCTTTAAAAACTCTAAAATTATACCTCTCTTTGTTGATCTCCACACACGTCTGTAGTAGAGAATTCCACAGTTCACTGCCCTTTGACTGAAAAAATCTTTCCTCCTCTCAGTCCTACGTGGTCTACCTGTATGCTACGACTTTGTCCCCTGGTTCTAGGCTCCCCAATCCGGGAAAACATCCTCTTTGCATCTAGTCTGTAGAGTCCTCTTGGAATTTTATACATTTCAATCAGATCTTATCCTTCTAAAATCTAGTGAATACTGGCCCAGTTGAATCAATCTCTCCTTGGAGGACAGTCCTGCCGTCCCTTGTATCAAGCTCGTGAACCTCTGCTGCATTTTTTCTATAGCACACATATTCTTTCTTGGATAGGGAGACTAAAACTGCATGCAATATTCCATTTGTGGTCTCACCAAGCCCTCATAACTGCAGTAAGACATCCCTATATCTGAATTTAAATCGTCAGGCAATGAACACCACTAACCATTTGCCTTCCTAAGTGCTTGCTGCACCTGCCTGTCATCTCTCATTTATTGCTATATAAGGACACCAAACCCTTTTGTAATCCTCACTTCCCAATATATCACCATTTAAATAATACTTTCCCTGTTTTTCACACCTTTCAAAAAGCCTTCTGAAAATCTAAATGTATCACATCTACATGTTCTCCCCTATCCCACTAGTTAAATCCTCAAAAAAAAATCCAGTAAATTTGTTGAGCATGATTTGCCTTTCATAAACCCATGCTGGTTTTGTCCAATACTGCTAATGCTTTCTAAATGTACTGTGTATTTTTTATTATAGACTCTAGAATTTTCCCACTACTGATGTTAGACTAATTTGTCTGCAATTCTCTGTTTTTCTTCCTCTCTTTTTAAGTAGTGGGGTTACATTTGACACTCTCCAATCTGAAGGAACTGCAACAGAATTTGTAGGATTTTGAAAGATGGCCACTAATGCATCCAATATTTACAGCACCACTACTTTCATTACTCTGGCATGTAGATTATCAGGCCCTGGAGATTTTTCAGCCTTTAACCTCTTTCACTTTCCTAGCACCATTTTCTTACCAGTACTGATTTCATTCAATTCTGGCGTTTTATGAGACCCTTGGTTCCCTAACATGTTTGGGTGGTTACTCATGCTCTCTTTTTGTAAAGACAGAATTGTGCCTCCATGTTGGTACCCTTACAGTGCCCAAACCGCCTCTGGAGCATCCACTTCTCCCAATCAGGCTGCTGATTGGACCTGGAACATCAGGAGTCTGCTTGTTTTCCATAAATAGACAAGCACGGAGGCAGCCAATAAGAAGGCCACTTCCCAGATATAATTCTAATCCGATGTTTCATATATTTAAGTGAAATTCTTAAAAGTAATATTACCTTTATAATGCTTTTAAATTCTAACTCCTCTTGTGTTCTTCTCTTCCATTCATTCTCCCTTTCGACCCTATCCTCAATTATTACTCGTTCGTAAGTCAAGTACTGAAAGGACATAATGAAAAATATTAGATGTTTTTCAATTCTTTGTTACTCAGTTATAATAACTCTGAAATAAAATAATAAATAAGCAGCCAAGCTTCAAGAAATACCATGTATCAACACTCAGAAATAAAAAGATATTTAATCCATGTGCTCCTTGAGCAGTGAAGTGAAACAATTGTGACAGTTGTCTTCTAACCTAGGTTACTATCAAAAATTCCTTTGTTTGCCTAACTCTCTTTCCTCCCTCACTGTGGGCTCTGTCTCCACCGACCTGCACACTTCTTTTCTATGCTCCCTCCACCAACCGATCCCCCTTCCATCAGTATCAATACTTTTTTTTTTAAAATGTTATCAATACTGAAGAAGTATCACTAGACTCAAAACATTAACTCTGTTTTCTTTCCAGAGATGCTGCCAGTCCTGCTGGGTTTCTCCAGCAATTTCTGTTTTTACTTTGGATTTTCAATATCCACAATTCTTTGATTTACTTTGTGCAATTGTTCTACATTGTTACGCAGTCCTAAATTTAGATTTTTTTTTCTTCCCTGTCACCTCCAGTCAGGGGCACAGCAACGGAAGGGCCAGGTTGCAAGTGACTTGTACTCAGTCATGGAATAAATTTCACACAGTTAGAGCTAAGCAAAGTTTCCTCCAGTGAAGAGATTGAGGGATAGAGTAGGAAGTTGAAGCAAAACAGAAGCAGAGCTTAAAATTAACCAAAACAAGTCCAGGCAACAGATAGGTAATTGACTGAGAGTATTGCAATTTTACTTTTTTACTTTAAAGTTATGGAGGTGAGTCAAATCCAGTACTGGCTATGTGTTGGTTAATATTTCTAATTAAACATGATATAAACCAGGTAAGTGAATGATTCCGTTGAACTAGATATAGAACAACTATTGAATTGATTTAAATAATGATTGTAATTAATTAAAAGATGAATGGTTTAGATACGCAAGGCAGGGCAACACTGGCTTTGGAGAATGCTATCCTTTGGGGAAATGGGTAGGCGTATCTGTGACTGCAGATATAATTCACATGTTGCCTTGTGAAGCCACAATCAAGAAGGCCATTGAGTGCTGCAGAGCTCTCTTGAATAGGGAGGATGAACAGCCAGGGCTTATGTTCGATTTTGGTACTAACAACATTTGGCAATAGGATCCTTCTGGAAGTTGTAAAAAGCTAAGGAGACCTGAAAGGCAGTAATTTATGATGACTCCTGCACTTGTCAGCATAGAAATAAGGTGCAATAGATAAATACATGCTTGGACTGATGGTGAAGGAAGCAGAATATTAAATTTCTGAGACATTGGTAACGGTTCTAGATAAAATGAGGCTGCACAGGGTTGATGGGTTGCACCTCAACAGAGGTGGAAACAATGTTCTGTCAGGATATTTTGCTCATACTGTTAGAAAGTATGTAACCTAACTTGGTCGGGCATATAGGATTGAGTTTATTTATCAAAACTAGTTGTTGCTTAATTAGGTATAATGATTAACCAAACACGATGTTAATATTGTATTCTGTTTCGTTGTGGTCCAAGTAAGACATTGGTGTCATACTGGAGTGAGATTTGACCTCAGGTAACATAAACTTGATGCTGGAGGAGACACATTTTACTGGCTTGCTTTATTACAGGATAAATATGAAGACATCTGGTACCAAAACAGCTTTAGGTTTCAAGGCACATCTATTTCCTCAGTTGGTTTAGCTTTTTAATTTAAAGTGCATTAAAGATAAATAGTCATTTTCTTCCAAAGTTAGTAATAGGCCTACACATTACATTAGAACTAAGTTCAGTAAGTATTTTTATATGTAGTTCTTGTGATTTTTTTTTTTAATGTCTTGCAATGGTACCTTGTTTTTTTCTATTATTTGCCTGTAGGATAATTTCTTATCACATAACCTAGGCTGTACAGAATTAGTACAGTAATAAAATTTGATTTCTGATAATGTTATGTGGTCTAATGAGAATCAAATGTTTCGGAATCAGTCAAAAATTTAAAAAACAAATTAAAAACAAATTAAATAAAATAGAGACGCCAGGCTAGGTGATCTGTTTTAACTGCATGATGTGGGAGCTGGTGGACCCCATTGTGGTTCATTGTAATCACATCTGTAGCAAGTGTTGATTGCTCGAGGAACTGTGGCTCAAAGTTGATGAGCTGGAGTCTGAGCTTCAAACACTGTGACACATCTGGGACGCAGAGAATTACCTCGACGTGTTTCAGGAGATGGTCATACCCCTTAGATAAACTACCTCAAATTCAGTGGGTGGTCAGGAACAGAAAGTCATGACTATGGGTGAGGCAGTTAGAAGGATCCAGGAGATAGTGCTACAGAAGCCTCACCCCTTGACCTTGCCAGAACATCAAAATTCTTGCTCCCTATGCAGATGAGAGCAGGAGCTGTAAGGAGGATGACCAAACTGACGATAGCACCATGGTAAGGGAAGCAATTCAAGTGGGAGGAGAAAAGAGAAATATAGTTGTAATAGCGGATAGTATAGTTAGGGCATAGTGGTAGAACCTTCACTGATTAAAGTTTTGGCAAAGATCTGCAGCTTGGGTTGTGGGTGAGGTTGTTGACTTGCTCGCCGAGCTGGCTTGTTCTCCATTAGACGTTTTGTCACCATGCTAGGTGACATCATCAGTGAGGGCTCCGATGAAGCAATGTTATTCTACTCCACTTGGAATTTAGATTCTTTGGTCCATTCTGGTGAATAGTGTCATTTCCGGTTTTGATCTGTATGGGTTTGTATATGGGGTCCAATTCTGTTTGTTGGTTACATTACGGATGGAAAACCATGCCTCTAGGAATTCCCGTGCATGACTGTGTTTGGCTCGGGCTACCACGGTTACCTTGTCCAGGAACAAGGAACAGCACCGATACAAAATCCTCGCTATAAACGGATGTCCCCACAACTTCATCTGCAGACAACAACAGGAGGACACAGTATGCCCTAACATACTGGCCACACTGCCCTACATCAAGAACCTATCGGAACTGACAACAAGACTCCTAAGACCACTAGGAGTCATGGTGGCCCATAAGCCCACAGCCACTCAGTAACAAACACTTACAAGAATTAACGACCACATTCCCACAACATGCAGAACCAATGTGGTTTACAAAATACCATGCAATGACTGCCACAAACATTACAGCAGATAGACAGGAAGGAAATTAGCCATCAGAATACATGAACATAAACTAGCAGCAAAACAGCACAACAAACTCTCCTTAATATCGGTACACTCAGACAATGAAGGCCATCAGTTCAATTGGGATTAGGTAGCCATAGTAGCCCAAGCCAAACATAGTCATACACGGGATTTCCTAGAGGCATGGTTCTCCACTCTTAATGCAATCAACAAACATATAGAATTGGACCCCATATACAAACTCATACAGATTAAAACTGGAAATGACACTACTCACCATAACGGACCAGACAGTATAAATTCCAAGTGGAATTGAATAACATCGCTTCATCAGAGGGCCCACTGATGACGTCACCTAGCATGGTGACAAAATGCCTGAACGAGAACAAGCCAGCTCGGCGAGCAAGTCAACAACCTCACCTTCACTGATTTTTTTAAAATGGTTTTATTTTTTATACTTTTGGTTGGAGCTGTAAACCACGAGCTGAATGTCACCTTTGGACTGTAGACAGCAGCTTGTATCAGATAAAAAGAAACAAATAAGCTGTTGTTTTTTTGTGAGGCCAGATCTGAAAGGTAATTGCAGGTTGGTTCTTGATCAAAAGACACTCTTTGACTCCAGGGAAAGAATAAATTTAACCAGATTACAGATGAATGGCCATTAATGAGGTTAGTACCTGGAAATTAGTGCAAATAAGTCTGGGAGAAAATATGATGGTCAAATGCAGGGAGGGGCCAGAGTTTTGAAACCGTTTTGAACAGAGTTTTCTCAGAGAAGGAATTTGGCTGTCGATGCTGCAGCATGGAGATTTGAAAGCTCACTGCCTAATCTCCCATTATAAGCAATTCGAAGTTTACAGCATCAAAACTAAGTTACAAGTATGACTGAATCTTCCTCAACATGAACTGAAAAAGTGGCACTGATTGATTTCTCCAGAAAATCAATCAAGAAATAATTATAGATAGTAGGAACTGCAGATGCTGGAGAATCCGAGACAACAAGGTGCAGGGCTGGATGAACACAGCAGGCCAAGCAGCATCATAGGAATAATTATACATGCCTGTGGAACAACGCATCGAAAAACAGCTTAAATAATCTGGCTAGTTTAGTTATTTTCTTTAAATTTATCCCCTAACTTTGTTTGTTTGCCTGTCTTTGTGTGGATGGAACTGAAAACAAAGGTTCTTGGGTTTAAATCATAGACAGTAATTAGGTTACATTGTTGTTTAATTTTGTTCTGCTACAGTTACTGTATTATTAATAAATAGATAAGTTTTTCGTTTAAGCTTTAAACCTAGCATCTGGAATCGATTATTTACAAAGTGAGGGTTTAGTTATTGTAAAAGTCTAATTAGGAACCATTAATTTTGAGGAACTTTGAAGGTTTTATTCCTACAATGTTGCAAATACAGAGACAGGGAGGCTGATTTGATTTGGCTGTCTGTCTCTGTCTTGTAATAATGGATGCTGTTGTCTGGCCCGAATCGAGTGGCCTGAAGTCTGTGTTGCCTAACTTCAGAATATCTCATTTAGGCTGCAGAGGAACTTGGAGTGGGAGGGGAAAAGATCCAGTTGTTGCGGACCACATAAGTACAATGATCTAGGTAGAATGAGGAAAGAGATTGTGTTGAGGGAATATGAGCAGCTAGAGGCTAAACTAAAATGCAGAATCAAAAAGGTTGTAATCTCCAGATTACCACCTCAGCCACGAGCTAATTGGCACAAGGTCAATAAGATTAAAGAGGTAAATGCGGGAACAAAGATTAGTGTGGGAGCGAGTGGTGGTAGAGGATTGTTTTACAAACTGAAGGCTTGCGACCAGTGGTGGGCGGCA